GGGTGTACAGGAGGCGTCCGTCCTTTCCCGCTAGAGCGTGGTCGACCCACACGTCGGCTTGCGGGATTTCCTCCTCCAAGGATCTCCTCCAGCGGGGCGCTGCAACATCTGATACAAATTATTAACTCCCGACTGGTCTCCTGGTTTGCTTGGTAGTGTAGACCATGCGCGTTTCGGTGTATGTAAAAGAAGTGAAGGAGACAAGGAGAGGAGAGAAAGATCGCTCCTTGTGCCCGGCCAGTTTATTAGGGTACTACTCCCACATTCGCTAGGTATTGATTGGAGAAACCACGCAAAATAACTGTCAGCTGCCCGTAGAAATCTGTTCCAGATTCTGGCTAAATTCGATCTAGCTATGTCGACTTTGTGGAGGGCGCGGCAATGCTACTACTGATCATTGCAATCGGGTGGCCATTGTTTTTAGAAAATTCCGAAATTATCTTCGGGGTTTCAATTAAAGTACTCCCAAAAATTAAAAAAAAAATCCTGGTTTCAAGTTCGATGTGCCCTGACAACACGGGAAATTGGAGAAATCCATTTTGATTAAAATCATGTGTATGGTTTAGGCTCTAATGTTGTACACAGACAGATTGCCAGAATAAAAGACGTTTTGAAAAAATATCAACACTGTTTTGGTATCATAGAACCCGAACACCTGGGTTTTTGCTTTATTATGTTTACGAGAAAGTAGTATACTGCATATGAAAAATCTTTTTCGGTGTCAGAGACATAAAATGTGTCATTTGTGAAAATATCGGCATTTTCCCCTGCATAACTTTCCTGTAAGGAGTAAACAAAAAAATAAAAAAAAGTGTACATAAGCTGCACTATGATTTCGACCACTATAGTTATTTACATAAATACTACAGAAAATGAGTCTCAGACGTATGAATCAAATGTTGACGGACGAGGTGACAATAGGAGACGAGACTGATATTTAAAATGAGTACTTACAATTCTCTTACATCAAATTTCTTAAAATCACTGAAAGTATAATTTTCTCTTTCGAATGTCATATGGTTCGTACATCATCGTGTGACACATTGAGAACCCTGCCAAATACGTTATGTTATTGAAATTTTATGTCTGCCTATGAATGAATCCAATAATGGCTATTCTTAGGAATCCGTCCATTCACTTTTATGTGTGCCACTTGAGCGAGGGAGTGCATCGAGTTATTACGCTATCAGTAATACGCTTCACGTGTCATTTATCGCTTCCATGACCTTGCTCTCGCCTGTACAGTGGCGCTATCACTACGCAATTTGCTTCGTTTTTGGCGCATCCATTCATTATTTTCGATCGTTCAATCAACGCTTTGTATCTTCGACAAATGGAGATTTTCTGAGTTTGGTGACCCTTCCAATATGTGAATGGAAATAGGCATGTTACGGAAAGATACGCATTTTTGATATGCTAAGAATCTTAATTCTAAGCGTAAATATGAATGGTTTCCCTCGGCATTTTAAATGCCTTTTCAATCACTGCGATTTTTAATGAATGTCAGTAGCAATATAACTTTAATGAGCATTTTTACTTTTCAAGTCACCAGCAATATTCGTTTTACGACAAAAGTGCACGTGCTTGAGATATTTTCGATTAAACTATCTACGAAGGAAATCATCTTTGTATTTTCAAGGAACGTGTGGCATTTATTAGCATTGTTCCTCAAGTGAAAATAATTTACTGTAATTGAAAAGTATATCAAGGTTTCAATAATAATATATTCATGATTGATTTTACATATAAAGAACGTGCTAGATGATTTAAAGAACGGGCCGATGAAACGAAATCAATAACCCCCGATAATTGAATCATCTGAATATTTATCTGATAGAGAATTGGAAGGGAGATTCTAATACCTTATAGATTCACATTTCATGATTATAATAGTCTATAGAAACATCCGTATAGTATGCAGTTTTGTTTTGAATGAAATACACTTTTATTAAATATATATGCGACAATGTGAGATCTCTGTCACAATAATATATCTCTAAAACCAATACAATTTATGTATTTATTGCAAGATTGTGACAACGTATGTAAACATATCTAAATATGTATGATGCTTTAGTAAATTACAATTTTTTAAAAGAACAATTACGTTCAATTGCACAATTATACGGAACTTCATGTCATCTTTCGGATAACACTTTGTCAAAATGTAAATCTGCTTATCAATACTTTTTTCTTTCAATTTCGATTGCACTTCAGTTCCCTTAAATTTACTGTAGTGTTCGCACCCGTAAGAGACATTTTATTACTATATCTGGGAGATAAAAGGAACTCAGGGGAGGATGATGAGAATAACAAAATATCCATTACAATAATTAATTCTTGATTTTATTGTCTATGGACCCTTTTGGGTTCAAAGAATTCGTATATGAATCTAACAGAATGTTTAAACTGGCCAATTTTTGAAAATTTTCCTATAAGATCAGCCAATTTGTGCAACTGATCAGTGGATGAATATTTTTCAGTTACGTACACACGTTCCAAGATTATCAATAACAAGTTTCTAAATCTGTCAAAAGACTTGACCCTGAAATATGCAAGTGAATTCGTTTTCGCACGTTCATTAATGCATGCAGAAATTATCGACCATTCCACAAGAATATTCATGCTCAAAGTACAACTTCTGCATTAAAGCAACAAAGTAAACACAATCAGATACTACATGAACATATTCATATAGCGATCATCTGTCTGACAATTAACGACTGAATGTAGTCGCCTTATGATTGTAATATTTTCATTTTGCTGAAGACATCACAGATTATAAACTCAATGCTCTTATAAATTTATAGTGTAAAATTAATATGTAAGATATGTACGTAAAGACTCATAGCAATCCTGATGTGATTTGCAATCCCGTCATTTATCCTCGTTCGGGCTTTAATTCATTACACTCGGATTGCAATGAACGTCTTTCTATTCAATATTTTGTCACAACAATTGAGGTGTTCGGGTGAAAATATCTGACATTTGGGACAAAATCAAGATTATTGGCTTTTATAAAGAAAAGGGAGTTCTTCCCTATCAATCAGGTGGATTCAAGAAAAGACGATGATTATTCACTCGCACGTTTTGGCATGTGCAGCTCGTTTTGAATAAAAAAGCAGCGTATGACTGCATTATCCTACGAAACGTGAACTGTCAGATACTCTTAATAGCTACTTGGCTGTTAAGCCAGTTGCCTGTGCGGAAGACGCCGCGTCTTAGACCAGATGCCAACGTTTCTGCCGCCATTCTGCGACATTCCTAAGGGCGAGATGGCACCTGCGCCTAGGTCGCGACATCTTCTGCACAGGCAACTGGCTTCTGATTCCGGACACGGAAACCTATACGCTCGTCTGTCAGATCCCCTTGTTCGGCACCCGAACGCCTCAAGGCAAACAAGGGCGTGGGAATGATTGCGCCCCGTTGGTGTGCCCGCAGTGACCACGAGTACGAGCCGATTTCGCCGCCGCCCGTGCCGCAGGCGGCGCGCCTGGCCATGGACCCGGACGTGGAGACGGAGCTGGGCTCCCCGCGGGGGCCCTTCGCGCGCACCGACAGCGACGAGAAGCGCGAGCGCCGCTACCTGCGCATCCCGCTGGACGACGAGCTCGTCATGATGCCCGGCGACGGCGACGCCGAGGACGCGGCCATGCGCAGCCGTGAGTTGGGCGACCTCAACGGCACGCACGACGACGAGGAAGAGGAAGCCGTGGCGGCGGCCGCTGCCGCCACCGCGGCCGCCGCTGCAGCCGCTGCGGCCGCTGCAGCCGCGGCCGCGGCCGACGAGGAGGACGCCGAGCTGAGCGCGCAGGAGATGCAGGCGCGCATGGAAGAGCGCTACTTCGCCGCCACGCCTACCACCACCGAGTCCCGCACGGACTGCGACGTCAACACCAGCCAGCTCGACTCCTCAGGCCTGGAGGACCTGCCTCTGAAGAGGGACGCCCGCAAGAAGAAGTCCTCGCCCGATGCCACCGCCGAGAAACAATCACAGGCCAGAGGGCTTCAGCAGAGAATCCGATCGCAGGCCGGCAGGATTCGCACCAAGCTACGCAGCATGTCGAGGCCCAAATTTTCCATGCCAGAGCGTCCAAAGTTCAACTTGCCCGAACGTCCCAAGTTCAGCATGCCCAGTATGCCGGAACGTCCTAAATTTCATCTGCCCGAGCGCCCGAAATTCAATCTGCCCGAGCGCCCGAAGTTTAATCTACCGGAACGTCCGAAATTTTCGTTCCCGGAACGGCCGAAGTTCCACTTGCCCGAGCGCCCGAAATTCAACTTGCCCGAGAGGCCCAAATTCAACTTGCCGCAGCGGCCGAAGTTATCTATGCCGACTTTGAGCAGTCTCTCGAGAAGCAGCGCGTCCACTACCCACGAGAAGAAGAAGGGCACCAGCAGCACCCGCAGGCCTCTGCGCGATCGCCCGTCCACCCTGTCGAGCGGCTCCTCCTCCACCAAGCGCACGCTCTTCGACTTCGACCTGCGCACGTACCCGCGCATCTTCGACCGCAAGGCCAAGCAAGCGGACTACGCTACGTCGTCGCCGAAAGCCACGCGCGCGCAAACCCCGCCGCCCAAGATGCCGTCGCGCCGCAAGGGGCCCGTCGGCTCCCGGTGGGTGCACCGCTTCACGGACATCAAATACGCCGACGACGAGAACGTCCCGCCGAAAGATCTGGCCGACGAAGACGTTCGCATGGACATCAGCGCCGAAGACCTGGGCGCGTTCGAAGAGCGGCCTGGCTCCGCGCACACCGAGTCTACGACGGCGTTCCGGGACAAGGACTACGGCTACGCCGTCACCATGGAAGCCCGGCCCGGCCAGCCGGCCCCGGCCGCCGCCCCGGAGAGCATTCCCGAGTCCGACCGCGAACAGCGCTCCTCGGGCAGTTCTTCGGACCGGCGACGGGCAGGCGTCCTCGAGGAGATCGACTCCGACGAGTTCTTCCTACGCGAGAAGGGCCTCAGCCAGGAAGACGTGGACGTCGGGCGCTACCTCACCTCGGAGATCCGAGATGCGTTCCGCTCGCCGGTCAGCGCCCTCTCCCAGATGGACAAGTACGAGTACTACGACGAGGAGGACGTGGAAAATTTGGGCCAACGGTACCGCGGCACGCCCGAGCGCGAGCCGACGCGACCAGCACGAACTCGATCGCTCCGACCTCGCAAGCGAGAGAACAGAACCCAGAAGACACCTAGCCCCACGTTGGAGAAAGACGCCAACTTCTACAACACCTTCCCCCCCGCCCGCCCCAAGAGAGCGCGCCGCCAGACCAAGGCGGCCGCAGACGACCAGGACGAGAAGGAGCAGCTGGAGGAGAACGTGGACGGCGAAGGGGAGATCGTCCACGAGTACGCGGAGAAGATGGACGACCTGGAGGCCGACGCGGAGGTGGAGGCCGTCGGCCTGGGGGACGCGTCCCCGGCGGTGCTCAAGCGCGCCAGCCCGGCCATCGGGGAGGAGCTGATGGACGACGAGCTGGCCGGCGAGGCGGACGAGGAGCCGCGCTCCGAACAGTGGTCCGCGGCGGCCCAGCACGAAGACCTGCCCTCGGGCGAATTCCCGCCGCTCGCCCCGAAGCGCAAGCACCGCAGCCGTCGCGAGCTGCAGGAGGACGACGTCGTCTTGAACGGCCACTACACCAAGGAGGACTGGCTCGAGAATGTCGAGGTGGAGATAGAAGTCGAGGTAAGTTGGCGTAGCATCGTGCTCGTATTCGTAGCATGTTATGACACGTTGTAACACGTTATGACACCAAAGAGCAGCACTATGAGTATATATAATATTAAGAACTCATTTAATTTTTTCAACCGAATAGAAGTTAAATTGTTTTGATGGATGAATTGATTAATTCTTTAAACTAATCCGTTAAAGTAATCGAATTCTAATCGAAGAAATACGAAAAGTAATCCTTCTCCCTGACTTATTTTGCATTTCAAAAATCTTTCACCTACGTTATTCTCTTTTTTATAAAATACGTCGCTTTTTACATTTCGTTCTTAATATTTCATAGACGTAAAAATCAGGTAAATGTACTAGTCATTATTATATTATAAAATTATAATATATTGATTTAAATGTTAATTTGTACATGACATCAACAGCAAAGAGCTGACTTAAGAATACACGTATACACGTATTTTTCTGATGCAAGGAAAGTGATTCATCTCAGTGTTCAGTGTTATTTTTTCCTTCCTACAAACCACAATAGCATTTGCGTGGGATCAAACTAGTATGTTCGTTCCACTCATCTTGAAGTAAAAATGAAATCTGATTCACTTTCAACCGTTATATCTTTTGAGCCACTTTTGATGACTTATGCAAGCTATGCGTCAGGGGTAATTTTCAAGTGTTACTAAACAGTGCACTGAATAATTAAACTCTCTCTTGGTCTTCACCTCGAAAATCGTTCATGCGTAAACTTGCTCAAACGTGCTCACTGCGTAAACTAAGTTCAATTTTCTCACAAAATTGGATTATAAAACTACAATCTCAGTAACTTGATGTCACTCTGAATTTTCTATTAATAACATAAAATTTTAGTTACTTTTTGAGCACTAATTATAAAAATTAATTTATAGCAACAATTTATATTCAGTTATTTCATAGAATATTTGACAATGGAAAATTCTTGTTATACCATTTATAGTTTTGCTAGATATAAATAAAGATATAAAATAATCTCACTTCTGCAAATTCGATAAAGAAATGCATTTTCTGATTTTTAACGCGCACAGAAATTTAAGCGCTTTTAACAATAAAGAAGAACCAAATAAGTTTTATTGCAGGCTCACAAAGTTAGAACTTCAATTCGTAGAGTAGTAAAAATATTTCCTTTGAAACATATAGTCTTGGTGTGTCATTAACCAGAGTTATTCTTTCATTTGACAGTTATTGCCTCATAAAGCAGCCATAACGGGCTCATAAATCTTATATGTAATTCTTGTTCAGGGCGTATGTGCCCAGGCAAAAACTTCGACGGTTTACTCCATGAGAAGATATCCTCAACTAAACTACACCTCAACACAGCCAACTTAGTAGCTGTTCAGTTCACGTCCTCACACTACTTTCAACGGTTTTAGAATTCAATTTAATGCTTTGTGTTGAATTCTTCGCCATATCTTAAAATATCTGTCTTGTATATACAATAGGCGACAGTACTTGCAAATCGGAAAAGCATTTGTTTCTTTGAAAATTTTGGAAAGAAGCTGAATACTTTTTTCACATGGCTCTAGAGCCTATCCGTCAATGACACAAGACAATGAGGAAACAAAGAAAATCATACATTTTACAATACCTCTTTACACTCTGAAGGAATCTTGATAAAATATCAGTAATTTTAGTAGCTCTCTCAAAATGCTCTGATTTGCATGTATTTGATTGGTCTAGAGATAGAATGAAAACAAAATTAATCTAATCGACTTTTGCAGTACGTAATTGTGGGGTATAAGTTCATCATGTATTCGAAGGAATTAGTTCTCAGAAATGATAATGCTATTTCATTGCGTGTAGGGAAACCGAGGTTTAGTGGTCACCATTTTTATATTAATTTTTAAGTAGAAAATAAAGTATTTTAATAAAAACGTATAAATCCTTCGAATAATTTGTTGGGTATATTATGTAGTAAATGTGAACATTTCAATTTTAATTAAAAAAGGAAAAAATAAAGGGGTATGAAAATAGATGTTTCAAAATTCCCTTTATATTATTTATTAATTTTTGTCTTCAGGGCACATTCGTTTCTTTGATGTAAGGACAATGGTCGAATTTCGTATCATTTGTATTCTTGTAATTATTCTTTTCTGCTCCTTTAAGAATTATCTATCGCAAAATCATTTATTTCTGCTGTCTATAAATTGTGATTCATATTTCGTGTATGAAGAACTTACGATTATCAGAGTTGTCCTATTCTTTCATAGTTATCCAATTTCTTTCCGATTTCTGTTAGTTTCTGTACACCCATAACAATCCTAAACAATTTTATGAGTGTCGAATATCTTAATATTCAATTTTCATGAAAAAAAGACGGAATGTCCCTTTTACGGTTTTGCCACGACCCTTCGATGACCGCTTTGCCTCGAACGGCATGTTGAGTTGTTCATAAAACTGAAAAAAAGTTAGACTATCATCTTTGTGATAATTTTCACGGTGAGACACATTGAAATGGCCTTGTTGAACTTTTGGAACAAAATATTATAAACGAAAAGCAGTGAACCAACAAAGTCTTGGCGATTTGAACTTTTAGTTCTTCCAACTTTCGCAAACATGAAATTAAATACTTTTTTATACTTAACTGTCTCCAAAATGTCTACGAATGTGCCAAAAATTATAAGTGCAGATCTTATAGCAATATCAGTATACACGTAACATTATTTTCATTTACTAATGTAGTTATTATTTCGCTTTATTCCCATAACGCCTATCTATCATTATGCAAGCGCGTCCATAACGCCGGGCGCCGCCGGCTGCGGGCGGCGGCCGTCTGTTCACAGGAGCCGCGCGGGGAGCCCGACTACATCATCCCCGCGTCGCCCGAGGAGGAGGGCGAGGCGGTGCCGGTGCCTCCGAAGCGCGGCCGGCGCCACGGGTTCGAAATCCGAGAGGAGGCAGCGCGTGAGCATCCCGCCGTCTTGGGGGGCGGGGCGCGGCGCCGCGCCACGCGCGACCTCCCGCCCAGCGCTACAGCAGCGACGAGAGGAGGAGGACGCGGGGGCGGACCACCCGCCGCCCTCGCGCACGCCCGGCGCGTCGGCCCAGGCCGCCGCCCAAGCCGCCGCCCACGGAGTTTCTGCCGCCCCACGCCGGCCCCCAGCGCCCTCGCCGCCTCGCAGGCGCCTCGCGTTGCCGCGGAACGCGTCAGTCGTGGAGGCTCGGTCGGGCCAGTTGGTGAGGGCCTGGCCTACGCGTCCTCATCTGCGCTGCTCCCATCCGCCGCACGCTGGCAGTACGCCAACTCGCAGCTGCAAACGATCAGGAGTGACAAGCGCCCGCGACTTGCAAGTGGCGTTGTGTCTGTTGCTCGTGGCTCTGTGGCGGGCCTG